TCTAGCAATATAAGCTATAGGTTACAACTCACGAACACGTATTGCTCTAGTGTTTCAGAATATATCCTAGCTCTCTCAGTAGAGTGATTTTTCATCATAAGCTTTTAAGTCATTTGTTAGTGATATGGGCTCGGGGTATCAAGACTAGAGGGAGGATGCTGCCCCCAATACCCACGTGGCACTCCCCCGAAAGGGGTCGGGCCCAGGGTAGGGTGGTGGCCGTCCCCTCCATGCCTGGGGGTCGGGCTGCCCCGAACCCCTCCGTGTGGACGCCACGTGTACGGGGTTAGGTGGGCGCCCCCAACGCCCACCTAACCGCATTTAAGGCGTGCCACGCCGCATTTAATGCGACGTGCTGTGCGCCTGACCGGTCTGTGACCAGTCGAATGACTGATGGGATCGGGGTGGTGCGCCTGCACACTTATCACACATCAGGCAGCATGTAACTTGCCATGCCCCGTCACGTCATGATGCATCCCGACCGGAGTCGGTTCATCCGCACTGGTCAAGCAAGGTTCCCATTTCCTGGTGCAAATGCGAACCCAGAAGTCTTCACCCATTAAATGATGAATGACAAGGGTGTCTCCCGTGTCAGTTGGTTCGATTTGATGGGCCCCATGCTACCGCGCTTGTGCATGTGGATTCCAAGTCAAGAAACAAGACATGTAGTTAATGTAAAGAATGTCCTCCTTGATCCCTAGGTAGACTTTTAGGCCCATGTGGTAGCCCCTTGAGATATAAAAGGAGGACCTTGCTTAGGGAGAAAGGGGAGGGATCGGTTATTTGGCTAGCTCACGCTTGGGTCTCACAGATTCAAGTGCCTGTATTCCATACTCAATCAACCAAGAACATGAGTAGGGTGTTATGCTTCTTAGCGGCCCGAACCTGTATAAACCCCTTTTGTCTCATTGTTCCTAAGGGGCCTGTCACGCCCTGAAGTTCCCCTCCTTGCTTTAAAATTTGTTAAATAAATCGTCCGAAGAAATTGTTTAATTTAACCTAGAGTTGAATCCCTAAATTAATAAATGCAAATAATAATAGGAATTGGCATGTGGAATTTTTCTTGGGTTCTACATGTCAAAATATGCTAACAGGATTTTCAGTGGAATTTTCAGAGCCTTGGAAATAATTTTAACCAATTAAAATAAGCAAAGTGCAATAAATAATCCCTGGAAAATCCTTTTTTTTCCTTTTCTCTTCTGTTTCTTCCTTTTTCCTCCCTTTTTCCTCTTGTTGGGCCGTCGGCCCACTTCCTCCCACGCCCTTCCTCCTTGCTGGGCCGGCCCACTCCCTCCCTCCTCTCTACGGGTCACCGACAGGTGGGGCCCACCTGTCGGCCCCTTCTTCCACCTCTAGCCGACGGCAGCGCCGCCGCCGAAACCGCCGCCCACGCCGCCGCTTCCTCCACATCCGCGCCCCACTCCGCGCCCACACGTCCCCCACATCGCCGCCCCCACGCCCCGCCTTCTCCCGCCCACGCGCGCGCCCGAAAGGGCGAGATTCAATTCGAATCCCCCCAACTCTCTCTCTCCACCTCACACGTCGTCGGCGAGAAATCCGGCCGCCCCCGGCCACGTCCGCCCCTCCCGAGCCCCTATAAAACGCTCCCCATGTCTCTCTCTCTCTCTCTCTCTTTTTCCGCGCTAGCCGTCTCCTCCCGTGCTCTCTAACGCCGCCGCGCCGTTCGCCGCTAGCGCCGCCGCTTGCCGCCGCCTCCGGCCGTGCACCGCCGCCCCTATAGCCGCCACCGCCACTAGCTTCGCCGTCGCGGGAGCTATCCCGACCGCCGCTTGCTTGCCGCGCGCCGCCGCCGCACCGCTCTCCCCACGCGCCGCCGCCTACCGCCGCCTCCAACCGCCGCTAGCCGTCGCTAGTGCCGTCGCCGCGCCGCTCCATTGCCGCCGTTGGCCTCGCGAGATCGAGGCCCGTCTCGTCCATCCCGCGCGCCCCGCCGTCCGCCGTTTGCCGCCGCCGTCCGCTGTCGTCTTCACCCACGCCGGCCGAATCCCCGGTGAGGACTCCCTCCCCCTCTTTTACTCCCCCTTCCCCGTGTGCATCGCTGCCTCCTGTCCGCGCCGCCGCTTCGGCCGTGTGCCGCCATCTCCTCACCGGCCACCGCCGTCTCCCGCGCCGCCGGTTGCCGCCGTCGGTGGCCGCTCGCCGCCGCCGCACCGCCTAACCGGCTGGCCGGTTTGAAGCCGAGCCGAGCCAACCGGGCGTCTCCCCCTCCCCTTGAGCCACTGCCCGGTGGGGCCCACCCACCAACCGGTGCCACCTCCTCCCCCTTGAGCCGTTGCCGGGGGGGGGGTCCCGCATGTCGGCGCCACCCCCCCCCCCTTTTGCTGACGTCATCCGGGATCCTTTATTGCGTAATAAAACTCATTAAGGCTTTTCTTTTATAGTAATAAACATAGATAATCTTCTAAAATTCATATCTAATTCATCCGAGCTCCGATTAAGTCCATTCAAGTCTCAGTAAATTCATAAAAATGCGTAGAATCCATTAAAAATGGTTTTTTTTTTCCTGTTTCAGTAGTCTTATAGCCTGTTTTGCTTGTGTGCTTTGTTTGTCGCATAGATTTCGGTCGTTTCGTCGATCTGCGGTTTCTCGAAGACGTTGCTGTGGTCTCATTAGTGCGAGAGCAAGGCAAGTCATGCATTACGATTGATCAAATTGTACCCAATTTACAAATGTCCCGCATTTCTATTAAATATTGCATTGTTTTACAATATCATGTGGGATGGGTCCTACTACTCAGCCATATCTTGTTTACCTTATGCCATTGATAACTTGGGTATTAAGATGCTTAGATGTTGGTTTACGGAATGCTTAGCCATACTTAGTTCAACTAGTACACAATGGGGGAATCACATTAATGCATAGACTTTGATTATTGGCAATAGCTTTGGATTAGTGCTACCGCAAGGGTGTTAGTTAATTAAAATACACTACATGGTGGGCTGTGGGTGCATGGTTTTGCTAGTCGTGCCCATGGCGATTAAGGACCGGTTCGCGAGAGGCCCTAGAAGAATTTATCGTACTTACCACAAGCCAGCGTGGGCAACGGCTGGGCTTGTAGTGTAGCTTTCCTCTAGCCGACGTACCCAGGCGAGGGTGGGCGTGATGGAGTTGGGTCGGCCGGGGTGTCCAGTTGATCGGCTTCCGGATTCACCGCGGCACGAAAGGGGGGCTGCCCGTTGCCTGTTGGGGACGGGGCCGAACCCTAAGGTGTGGTGCGATCGGTTAGAGGGGGTTATGCGAAGGGTCCTGTCACGGCCTCTTTCCGGTATGTCGTGGTGGCATGTCGGCACATGGTAACGTGTCGTGGGGCTGTGTCTTGTGGGTACAGTTGTACACCTCTAATCAGAGTAAAACTATTCGAATAGCCGTGCCCACGGTTATGGGCAGTCGACCAGATTCACCGTGATTAGTCTCACCCTAGTTAGCTAATGAACTGGTTAGTTCAGGTGGTGGTTTGGGCCTGACTCAACATGGTGTAGCGTTGAGCAGTGATTGGTTAATATTGATTAATTACTACAGCTGTTTTACTGCTTTCAGCTGTTGCTTTTAAATGCTAGCTTTATGCAAAAGGACCTTTAGCCTCCCTTGGATATTTCCTGCATCATACCTCCTCTTCCGGTATGACTTGCTGAGTACAGTGGGTAGTACTCAGTCTTGCTCTCTTTTCCCCCACCCTAGAGTTGAAGTTCTTCTCAGTTGGAGATGTCTCGATGAAGTTGGTTTCGTCGCTGCCGTCAAGGATGTCTTTGGAATGGAGTCGCCTCGCTGCAGGTGTCAAGTCTTCAGGCTTAGCTCGCTTTTATCCTTTTCCGCTGCATTTATAATCTTTTGTATTTTTGTAAGACGTGGATCTGTATGTCAACAATTGTCGTTTGTGTACCCTGGCTGGTCCTGGATAGGGGTTTAATGCACATTCAGCTTAGAAATTCTGGTTCATGAATTTCAGGGCGTAACAGGGCCCGACCCCTTCTACATCACATCTTCCACCGTATCCTCGATTCTCACCCGCTGCCCCCAACCAAACTAAAGGGGGGGGGTCTCATAATCCCCCGCTTGAGGAGTTCACCCTCCGACATCATTGTTTGCATTACAAAACTCAATACAACACAAATCATGTCTTATTCTGAGATTAGAATATGAGTTCTAAAGACATTGGAATTCTTTCCAAAAAATGTTAACTTTAATAGGGAATCAACTAAAAACCATTAAGTTTTTAAAAAAAGAGTTATCCAACCAACTTTGATGTACTACCAACAACAATGCAAATTCTTTCTGGCTTCCACAAGTTTGAGACAAAAAAAAAGCAAGTCCAATCAGTTTCCGATGGATGGCGACGCTCGAGAAGCTAATAGCAAGTAACTCAATGGAGTTAGAAATGAAACAAACTATAGAACATGAATGGAATATTGTCAACTGAATGCTACAGTTAACATGTATTTCTTTCTTGGAAAGCATTTCATTTCATCATCAAAAGAAAACCACCTCTGTTTTTAATAGTTTTTTATGTTCATTATGTTTTTACCAACCAAAATATAGTATACACCATAGTTTTTGGAAGGGATAAAGTAACCGTGCAACTTTATAATTGGGCCAAAACAAGCCATCCACAATGAGCTATCATATAATGCAAGCTTGCAACATCCATGCATTACATGGTGCATTTGTGCAAAGACTCAATTGTCTGTGGAAGACACATGTAGTATACAATACACTTCAATTCGTCAAACACATTCACCACTATCTCTACGTAAGCCAATCGGCTACCAACATGTAACCAAGTAAAACACTATTTCTATTGTATTTTACCTAAGCTGTACAATGTCTTGATAAGAAAAGAAAAGGAAATAAATAAATACAATGAGTATTTGGTCTCTAACTTTTCGATCAACCTGATTAAGATAGTTATAGGCAGCATAACTTCCAAACACTTTCGAATCATCCATAAAAATTAAGAACCAACCCACTAAACCAAATAAAATATATATAACACAAGAACACCATCATATATAATTTATTATCTAAGATTCGTAACAAGCTCCGTTTAAGAAAAACTCCCGAGATTTCTACCTAAATCCTAGGCATTATTAGTAAGTTCTATAACAAGCCCAATAATATAGTTCCATAAACTATGAAATAAAGAGCATCTATCTAATTAGCATCTCTAAAACACAAATACATAATATATTTAGCACGGTCAAAAGCTTGGATTGGCATTGAATTCTTAGTTGGCGTTTACACCAGCAGAGTCTAGGAGGAAACCAGGGTGCAGGGCCTCTTGATCTTCAGGTTTGGGTTTTACCTCTTGGAGCAGTTTGACACACTCCTCTATTTTGGCAGACAACATGTTTGATGAGTAAAGTAGCATGACCACTTCAGAATTACCTAGCTCAAGTAACATTCCAGTGATTTTACTGGCAAGGTCAGGCTGCAAAAAACAAGGCGTGTCATATTAATATAAAAGTATGTCCCTTTAATATTCCAAATATAAGTGAAAAGGTATGTCAATGTAACATATGCGCAAAATATTTTACATGATGTCTCTCAACCAACGGATATAGTCTATTCCCAAGCATGTTCTTCTGTTCCTCGGGTGGAGCAGTAGCTAGCAGGTTGTTAAAAGCGTCATTCATCGATGAAATAGAGTCACCATGATGAATAGCCAATCCATTGGCCATGATGTCATTTGGAATATACTTAGCATGGCTAAATCGCTGCGTAAATTCAAAAGGATAGCATGTTAAACTCTTCGTAACAAAATGCTACAAAGTCCAATGAACAACTTAGTTCATAGTGACATGTCACATAACAACATCTAGTGAGTATGATAATCTAATAATACTAAACTTACAATTAAGCATAAAAGCTTTTGCTTACAATAGTAGAGACTAATGTTGTTGAAAAAAAAACTATGGAAGTTTGAAACTAATTGAAATAGAGCACTGTTGCAAAAACACTAAAAACCAACATGATGAAGACATGAAGTAGACCGAGTATACCTGTCGGGACATGGACATGAATTCTTTAGCTGGCTGCGCATGTGGAACATAGTTCACAGTGTGGTGAAAATGCATCATATTTCCATTCATCCTTCCCCTGTTGTTTCTGTATTGCCGTGGAGTATTTCGCATCTACAAAGAAAGAATAAGATTTTAATAGAAGTTCACTTGAAAACATGTAATTTGAGCTAAGCAGGACAAGGACATACAATCGGTGAATGTATTTGTTGGATATTATGTGACGAGGGAAACATGTTATGCCTCCATTCTTGACTAATCCCTATGGGTGGATACATAAATCCTTGTCTCCCTGGACTTTGAGGGAGATGTGTACTAGGGTGGGCAAAGTAAAATTGAGGATATCCTGTGGGTATGACAGGACTTGTAGCTCCAACCATCGTTGCAAGCTCAGCAAAACGTTGCTCTAGTTTGGCTCGTCTTTCCTCTTTCCTTTGAGCAATAGCAACGTACAATGGTTTGCCATAAAACATTACACCTGATTAATCCGAGCAAACAAAATTTGTTGACATATGAGGCAAGTACACACTTATTCATGCGTTAATGGGAAATGACATAGGATATTTACCACGCATGTTGCTTACAGCACATTTTGCTTCCTCAGGTGTGTTGTAACATACAAATCCAAATCCTTTGCTAATACCCTTTTCATCACGCATAATCTTTGCTGATGTAATGTTTCCAAATTCATTGAACCGTTCACGGAGAGCATCGTCGCCAACTTCATCATTAATATTTTTTATATAGACATTCGACCCCTAAAAAAAGAGAGATGCATTTTTAGATGAAAAAAACAGATTGTAGAGGGCAAATGGAACTTACATTGCTCTTGGTGATTATTTCATTTCTCTTCTCCTCGTGTAAGCGTTGCAAATATTGTTTCCTTTCAGCTTTCTTTTGAGCTCTTGCTACATACAAGGTTTTTGATCCTAATAAAACAATTCACAAACAATTGTATATCAAATTGAATAGAATAATAAGGTTTCACTACTTAATGAATTTTCACTATTTAATTATTTTAATATCATAAGTGGACTATTACCAAGTAGCATCCCGTTCATGGATTCTTTTGCTCTTTTGGCACTTTCTGGGTTTTGAAAACTTACAAACCCAAAGCCCTTAGATGTCCCATCATCTCTTTTCATTATCTTTACACTAATTACTAAACCATACTGAGAGAACTTTAACTTAATAAGTTCCTCTGTTATATCATCATCAAGGTTCTTCATGTATAGGTTAGTATATTTGTCATCATTGTTTGTAGATCGTTCACTCTTCTTAATAAATGTAGCAACATGCCTGCATAAATATGATCATAATTGTAAACCAAACTATGACCGGACAAAGAATAAACAAATAACAAAGACGAGTAATAATAAAGAAGTAAACATACAATTGCCTGCCACAAAAATGAGAGTTGTTAAGATTTTGAATTGATGCATCTGCTGATTCTTGCAACGCAAATTGAACAAATCCATAGCCTCTACTTGTCCCATCCTCATTTTTAGCGACTTTACAAGATAATATATCTCCAAACTTGCAAAATAATTCTTGTAGACTTACATTGTCAACTAAATCATTAAGATTCTGCAAAATGCCATAGTAAAGTAGCAGTTAAATATGGCAATATACACCAAGAAAGTATATAGTGAGGAATTTGTTTTTTTACCTTAACAAACACATTTCCAACCCCACTTCTCCTAGCATCTGGATCTCGGTTAGACCACATTACTCTGATCGGCTTATCCAAAATAAGACTATGATTTAGTTTCTCCAAAGCAATTGCAGCTATCAAATGTTTAAAAAGTAATGAGAATTTTATCAATATCCATTAGCAAGAAAAGTTGGTTAGATAACAAGAACATTAAAGTAAGTGCTAAATCATTAGTATAAAACATGGCATGAATTGAAAGGCACACATGGTTGGATAAGTTGCTTCTAGGATTTCAATACAAAATAAATCAATAATACAAAATATAAGCAAATGTTACAAAATAAAAAGTCACAACAAGATAGCGATGGTCAATTTAATGACTTGCATACAAACTAATAAAAGTAGATTAAAAAAATAAAGAGTTATTTTTCAAGAATAAGATAAATCATTATACATCTCATTACAAATACAACTCTTAAAAATCAAAGTGACAAATGTAACAAGAAGATATATGTTAAACAATATAATCGACCTCATCATGTTGATACAGGATACATTGTACTAAACCTTATTTGACATGACCACATCAACTTCAATTCCTCTGTAACTTCTTTGTTTAACATAATTAGTGAACAACACATTGTTTTGGGAGATTGGCTTGCATGTGGGCCAAAAGGGTAAATACTTTTAATCTAGGCGAAGGGCATATGATCAGATTTTCGCACCTTTTTAGTTGAAAGAAAGGAACAAGCGATGCCCGCACACATTCTTAAAACTAAGAATTCTATCATGTGGCAGCAGCTAGCGGAACACAAGCTATACATCCTAAAATACATCCAACTACTTCTATGGATAATAGTATAACGGTTAATATGATAGCATGCATGCATCAACCCCCACACTGTCAATAAAATAAGTGCGATGATCTGGGTTATTTAACTTGTTCAGTGACACATTGTTCATACAAAATGTCATGCAGATTTGTAAATATACCAAGTGTTTTGATTTGCACGAGTACTGAGACCACCTCTATGCAAAACTCAATTATGCACTTAACCCGATCAAAATAATGCTAATAGCACATGAGATAAATTAATAAGACACAGATCATGCACAGGTTTTTTGTATACCGTCAGCCTGGGAGAGGTAATTCACGTATCCATATCTGAGGGAGTTGCTCGTGGCATTGTCGCGGCAGACGCGCACGGACGTGAGGGTGCCAATCTTGCCGAACACCTCGAGCAGGTGCTCCTCCCGCACGCTTTCGTGGAGATCGCCCACGTACAACGCGGGCACCGTCGCGTTTAGCCCCCCCGCCACCGCCGGAACCGCCTCCACCTCCACAGCCACCGGCGCCTCCGCCGCCATCGCAACCATCATAACCTCCATCTCCTGCGCGGCCATAAGAAGCAGCCCTGGGCCCTGGCTACCGCCTCCGGCTAGGCCAAATGTGGGTAAGGGAGTACAAGAGACGAGGGATATGGAAACCAAACGTGCAAAAAAAAAACGCAATCGCGTTCTGGGACACGAGACACTGCAGGCGAGGTGTGATTTGGTTCACGAAAAAAAGGAACTCGTAAATGGTGAGACGTCTCAGCCTCTTTGTGATGTGCGAGAGAAGATGAGGAAGAGGAGCGTCCGCCCCCGTTGGATGGGAGTGTTTTGCGGGCCGCGCGGTGCTCGGAGGCCATCCACCCACCCACCTGTGCGTCGCCCCGAAACAACGCCGCGTCCGGTGGCCACCCGCGCCTCTCGCGCTCGCTCGCTACGACGCGCCAACCGAATCAATCACCCATTCATTCATCCCCGATTGTTTCGTACGTTTTCCCCCACCACCACCAGCAAACTCTGGAACTCTCCCGAAAATGCTTATCATCATACTTCCGAGGAAGGAGGAAAAATGCATGCAACCAATGGAGTAGTAGTAGTGCAGGTGCATGACAAGTGTATGCATCCAATTTAAATGACAAGTACATGCAAGTCACATGGATTTAAAATTTAAATGATCTTTTCTCTTAAACTATTTATCGGAATTATGAACTAATTATACTATTGGATTTGTTACAATTAACTCTTTATAACAAGATCTCACATGACAATATTCCGATGATTTTTATCACATAATGTTATTCCAATGTTTCAATAAGTATTTACTCATGTTTCACTAATTCAGATGTAATGTTGCATGTGGTCTTTTTATATGCTTTAATAAATATATTTTGTGTTTCAAAAAATACAACTTGACGCTTCAAGAGTGATATAAAATTTTAACAAAATAAAGTATTTGCAAATATGTTGCATTATATATATTTTTATGTTTTCAAATGTAGGACCTAATGTTTCATGTAATGGTGGTTATTATTGTAGCCAATAATTTTTATATAGTTATTGTTGCACATGATCTATTTATATGTTTCAGCAAATATTTTTTTATGCTTCAAAAATTGCAGGTTAACGTTTCAAGAATGATATAAAATTTTAACAAATCAATATTTGCAAATATATTGAATCTTTTTTTTATGTTTCATTAGTTGGGACCTAATGTTTCATGTGACGGTGGTTATTGTTGCATTTAGTAATTTTTATAAGTTACATCTCTCAGAAATATTTTTTTAGAGTGGGCTGAGTTATCCGTACAAGTGATAAAACAATTTTATGGTGCAACAAAAGGTTGATTTTTCTAAAACACATATAAAATGTTGCATGGCATTATTTCGATGTTTCAATAAATATTTTTCTGACGTTTCACTAGTTTATTTGTGAATGTTGCATGTGGTATTATTGGATGTTTCGGTAATTCATTTATAAATGTTGCACGTGTTGATTGGGATGTTGCAGTGAATATTTTCTAATGTTTTAATAATTATAACTTCTTGTTTCACGTATCTCTACTATTATAAAAATTGAAGATGTTTCCGCTGATACTTTGATACGTCGTCCTTATTTGAGTTAGTTTTTAAGTTTGTTCGTTTTTTGGAAATACATAAGTAGTCGTATAAGAAATTCTTTTAAAAATCTCGCATGCTAACTTGGGACGAGAGTCGGACTCCTAATTGTTTCAAAATTCTCACCAGACCATAATAAAGCATGTACAGGATGTAACCAACTAACCATCATCCTAATAAGGATTCTGAATTAGATATCTATACTCCAAAATAAAAATCCCATATACCTTTTAAATAAAAAAAATCTAACAATAATACGATTAAAATAGCCTTCTCCCATTGCAACGCACGTGTATTTTTTCTATTAATATATAAATGTTTCAGTTAGTAATATAATCATATTTATAAATTTTATCAGAAATATAGCCAAGTAAGATTTTGTTGTAAAAATTTAATTGTAAAGAACACAATGGTAAAATCGGATAAGTAATTTAGAACGAAAAAGTTTAAAGGGTACAGAAAATAAAGAGAGAGATTACATGTATACATGCATGAGAGTAGGGTATAGGCTTGCAGCGTAGCTGCTTAACTACTATAGTTTTTTTTATATATAGTCAGATATGTGGGTGAACAACGTCCGATTTTTTTGCTAAATATCGTACGTTCCATGTGTAGCAGCCTCCTCTACCACCTGCGCGCTGGGCCCGGGGTATCGGCGACACGGGAGAGGATACCCCTTCTCCGGTTCGGCCACGGCTTACCGAACTCCCAAACCTACCCCTGCTCGAGCGAGCGTTATTACCGGGACTGCCTCGCCACCGCCCGGGGGCAGTGACGGGGGGCAAAAGCGTCCACGCAGCCCGTATTTGACCAATCCCCCCGTCTCGTGTCGGCGACTCTTTCCCCCTTTCCCCTCGCCTTGCGTCCCGCGGCCACCATCACCACCACCACCACCACCCACCTCCTCTCCTCCCGGATCCGAGATCCGATCCGGCGGCGATGGCGTCGACGGCGGCGAGGCGGCTACGGGAGCTGCAGGGGCAGGCGGGGAACAAGACGTGCGTGGACTGCGCGCAGCGGAACCCGCAGTGGGCGAGCGTCTCGTACGGGGTGTTCATGTGCCTCGAGTGCTCGGGCAAGCACCGGGGGCTCGGCGTGCACATCAGCTTCGTCCGCTCCGTCACCATGGACTCGTGGACCGAGGCGCAGCTCCGCAAGATGGAGGCCGGCGGCAACGACCGCCTCAACGCCTTCCTCGCCGCGCGGGGCGTGCCCAAGGAGACCCCCCACGTCGCCAAGTACAACTCCAACGCCGCCGCCGCGTACCGCGACCGCATCGTCGCCGTCGCCGAGGGCCGCCCGTGGACCGACCCGCCCGTCGTGAAGGAGACCCCCGGATCTGGCGCGCCCGCCCCCACCAGGAAGCCACCCTTGCCCGCCGGAGGCGGCGGCGGCGGCGGCGGCGGATGGGATGACTGGGACGACGATTTCCGGCCCGACATGAGGAGGAACCAGTCGGTGGGGTCGTTCGGTGAGTCGGGGGCGGAATCAGGGAGGCAGCCGCCGAGGTCCAAATCGACGCAGGACATGTACACGAGGCAGCAGCTGGAGGCGTCGGCGGCCAACAAGGACAGCTTCTTCGCCAGGAGGATGGCGGAGAACGAGTCGAAGCCCGAGGGGATCCCGCCCTCGCAGGGTGGGAAATACGTCGGGTTCGGCTCCAGCCCGGCGCCGTCGGCGAATCGGAACGGCGCTGCTGCTCAGGGTGATGTCATGCAGGTCGTCTCCCAGGTAAAAATTCTTGCTACGTCGGTATTACTTGTTCTATACTTCTATATATGTTTAGCTAACTGTTGCAATAAACAGTTTTGCGCATGCCCAATTTATAACGTGGAAGTTTAGGGATTTAGATCATCTTTCTTCAAAGGAGTAAATACAAATTTGTGCTTACCCAGTTTGTAACGTATTTTTCGTAGTTAAGGGATTTAGATCATCTATCTGCAAAGGGATATACTGTTGTATCGTAAATCTGGTTTCTTTAGATCTACAAGTGATAAAACGCTATAGATGCTCATGGTATTACTAGGTTGAGGTTGAATGGCAGTATTGCACTATTGCAGCAATTGTTACATGAACATCACTTGCTGCTTTCTTCCCTGAAGTCATTTCTGTTGCCAATGATATATCATCTTTTACTTATGTTAATTTTATGCTATGAAATTGTGAACTGAGGTTCTCTCTTAGATATAATTACACTGCTCTTTTTTTAAGCTTACTTTTGTATCTTGGGTGGCCTTTGTCAAGCTATACATTCTTTGCCAATAGGTCTTAGCATCACCTTGAAAATTTGATATGCCCTGTTTCCTGCAGCGACTAAAATGTAGCTTTTGAAGACACTGTTGTAATAGAGTTCGCTGTGCCAAATGGACAATATATAGAATAGTTAAGCATGCTTAAGCCGTTTTATTTGTAATACTCTTCCTAATATGCCCACAAAATAGCATATATCATTATCTTTGTTGAGTCCAGGTTAAATCTGTGTGTTGGTTAAACAGTTCTTGATATTATTATTATTCAGTATTAGGGTGATGTGTGTATCTAGTTAGACGCAGTTGTGCCAGTATTACACCTTTTATTTTCATCTGTCCATCAGTTTAACTCCTATACCATTTCATCTCCAGGGAATTGGACGGCTTTCACTAGTTGCAGCATCTGCTGCCCAGTCTGCTGCCAGTGTTGTCCAAGTTGGCACAAAAGAGTTCCAATCAAAGGTACCTTTTGTTTGTCAGCTGATTTTGTAATATCCCAAGTTGAATTTCCAGAGTATAGTTTTTTTATAGAACATGGATTTCTCTGAGTTTACTGTGCTTACCTAGTTGCATGGTTCAATCTGATTGTAATGATATATTAACCTGCACTCATCAGAATACTGGAATATAGATGAATAGATCTTTACTGGCGTGTCTCCTTGATATTGTCTTACATCAAGCCTAATCTCTTAATATCATTTATACTGTATCTTGAGCCATATTCTTCTACCAGCATTATTAAGTGAGTACATTTTTGCTTATATTTCCCACCTCATTTTCCTATCAAGGACTTAATTATTGAAATCTCGTGATCATCGTTTACTCCTCAAGAATCAATGTTACTATGGACTATATTGAACTAAATAAAACATGTTGTGTTTAAGATTATTTGCCGGAGAGCTTTGTCCTTGTCTTACACAGTTAATGATTTGTGCTTGTCTGGAATGCAGATGAGGGAAGGGGGCTATGATCAGAAGGTGAATGAAACTGTAAATGTTGTTGCCAATAAAACCGCAGAGATTGGAAGTAGAACATGGGGAATTATGAAAGGGGTAATGGCGTTAGCGTCACAAAAGGTTGAGGAGTATGCCAAGGAAGGTGGGAATGGCTGGGGGGATGATTGGCAACGCAGGGAGCAGGGCAGTGAGCCTTACCATAGGTTTGAGCGTGAGACCAATGGTAATGGGTGGAATTCTTCTTCTCATGATGGTTCATCAAAGAATTACAATTCCAATTCCTGGGATGATTGGGATGAGCCAGTCAAGAAGGATGAGCCTGCGAAAGAACGCCAAAGCAGTGACTCCTGGGCCGGCTGGGATGATGGGAAGGATGACAATTTTGATAGTTACAATCACAGCACCCCCAGCAAGGGGAGCAATCAGAACGGAACCACCGGTGGCTCCTATTGGACGGAAGGCGGCTTCCGCTGAGGTTGATTTCTTTCTAGAGATATATTATACTTGGAGAAGTTATATATGCCAGAAAGTGTGAGCGTCCGATGGTCCGTATCATTCAGGATACTAAAAGGGTCAAGTAAAAGAGTTTGTGTTTTTGTACGTTGTTTACAACTATGTCTAGTGGTATGTTCCGGGGTCAATGGGGCTCATCTGAAACTGTCATCACAATTACTAAGAAATGTCAAATTGAAACTGTAATCTACACAAACTTCCTCTCATATTCTTTATTGTTTCAACTGCTTTTTTTTTTCTTTTTTCCTTTTTTCTTTTTTGTCTTGGACCTCCTACAGCTGTATCAGCTCTTCCATTATTTGCTCTAGTTGATAGTCTGTCCAAAAGGCCAGTGTGTAACATGTTCCATATCGGTTGGCTGTGTTGTTATAGTGCTTTTCTTTGTTTGGCGCCAATCCACCCAACTTGATGAGGCACTGATAGGCTTTACGTCCTTTGTTATTGCCTACTTTCTCGACATCTTTTGATGCGACATGACGCGTATTATCCTTTTTAATTACTAATCCAGCCTTTCCAGGCTGAAGCTGACTGTGTGAGGGCCTGTTTGGTTGCTGCCCTCGTGTTTGTGCCTGACCTGAGATGCTTGCCTGAGACATGCCTGTACCTTGTTTGGTTGGCGTCCTGGGTGTTCCTGCGGTAGCCTGACCTGACAGCTAGCCGCTTTGATTAGCCTGGCTCAGGCGACGAAATTCCAACGCCTGACTCAGACAAGTGAGAAGCTAGCAAGATTAAGGTGATGTGAAAGCTATGGGTCCCACTATTAATTACATACTTTTTCTTTTTCTTGCTTTTTTCATTCTTCCCACCGATTGATCATGTTTGTTGAGTTAATATTATCTGTTAAGAGTAATTATTACAGTTTGACGTTGCATTATTCTTCTCAGGCACATGGTTCAAACCAAACAACTCATCTCACAGGCTGCCTGGTCAGGCAAATGTCTTTAAACTTTCAGGCTAGCTTCAGGCATGAGTTTTCATCAGGCATGTGTGTCAGGTCACCAACCAAACAGGCCCTGAGTCCACTCTTGGAAGGTTTTGTTGCATGGAATGTGAGGCTGGTTGGATCGAAGCTGTCTTGGCATTTGACCGAAAAGACAAATTTTTGCTCGGATACAATCGTTATCATCATGAACAGCAACACAATTGCAGTTGTAAGCAAACATTGTTGCGATCAAATCAAACTCGCAGAATAAATATAAAACCAGAACTTGTATAGTTTACTGCCGTTGTTTTCTGTGTCCAAAACTCCATGCGTCTCTTGCTAATGGCAGTTCAGTGGCGGTTACTATCTCTACCAAAAATCAGACGCGTGCATGAACAGACTGTACGCACGCACTCAGACAATGAAGATAGATTAATGAGTGAATCAGTGAATCGATCCAAGAATAAGGCAGGCTTGGTGGAGCCTGGCTGGTGCCTTGGTGGGAGCACATGCACGCCAACTTGGATCCCAAACACGGCCATGTGGAGCAGTAGACGGGAGTTTTTTTTTCTCTCTCTCTTTCTAGCATCGAAACGATCGGATCTCCTTTTATACATGGGAGAAATTATAGTTTTGGTGTCTGCTTGAGAAAAGTATCTTCCACTGTCTTCTCCAGTTCTCCCACAAGGTGTTTCATGCAAAAGACTGAACTTGTGCTATGTACGGCCCCAACCTCCAAGGTTCTCTCTGAGATTAATTATGACCATCTAGTGGCAACTGGGGTTAAGAAAGAGCACATGTTTATTCACGGCCTTCGAAACTTCGCCGGATGTTCATTTTTCATCACGTGCTACCGGACTGAGTATTTCCCACCTGGACTTTCAAGTTTGGGCAAGTTTCACCTATTTTTATGCCATGTTGGTGGCTAAACTTGTACTGCCCACACATATCATACACTAGTATTCTTCTTCCTTCTCGCATCTATCTGTAGAAGAACTTCCGTATCTTCCTGTTTGCTTATCAGCTGTTGCTAAATTTTGAACATTGAAACTTTAGAGGTATTTTCTAGCTCCAGCTTTTAAACACTAAGGACACATACATATAAGAGTTTTATTTTGTTACTTTGTCCATTTTTCTACTCAACAGATCAATGCGTGAGACTTAACTCACTATCTTGCATGCATAATCCAAATGTTTTTTTATTAACACAATTGTCCATATTAGTTCACATTTTCTAAAAATATGGCATCACATTTTTTATTTGATTTCAATTGCTTCCCCTTATGCGCTTGCTACCTCTATCTCTGTACATAAAAGAATGTTTCCATCTCTCGTACCTTCTCTTTCTAGTAGACAATCATTTTTTACTAGCTCTTTTCTATATTGTGCAGTAGGAAATTTTATTATATATGTATATTACTTCCTCCGTTTCACAATGTAAGTCATTATAGCATTTCACACATTTATATTGATGTTAATGAATCTAGATAGATATATATGTCTAGATTCATTAACATCAATATGAATGTGAATATGAATGTGGGAAATTATAGAATGACTTACATTGTGAAACGGATGGAGTACTTTAAATGATATCATTTAAAATATTTTTTTTATCGACATGTGGTTGTCCCAAATACTCCTCCATTACGATATATAAGGATTCCTGGGTTATCTAGGAAATACTAAGTTTACGTCAAAAAGATTTCTTTTAAGTCACTTTGTTACCTTTTGAATTTTGAATTGCTTATATTATGATATAAAGTCTGAATATTAAAAACCTTCATATTTTGAGAAACAGAGAGTGAGTACTAGTCAACCGACTTTGCCGACTTGCCACGAAAAAAAAAGAACATGAGGAAGATAAGCACTCGAGGTCGAACCCAAGATACTCCAGCGAGAAATACTCGGAACAACGGAACGAGGCGACCCCGAGCCAGACCCCGACCCGGCACTGCAGGCATCCCAATATCCAATCCAATCAGTGCCTCTCCTCTCCTTCCCGTCCGCATCACGCCCTCGTGGAGTCGTGGGTCTCTCTCGCGACCGCCTCACCACGCGTTATCCCTACGCGTCCGTCTCCCCCCTTTATTTTTATCGCGCCCGCCACCGAAAAGACGAAAAAAATCTCCCAATTCCCCAACCCTAACGCCGCTCTCGCCTCCACCCCCCAAATCCCGAATCCGCCGCCTCTTCGTTCGTCGTCGAGCTCGCTCGCTCGCCCAACCCTAGCGCGCCAGATCTACCCGCCCCCGAGCAGCCGCCATGGCGGAGACCCTCGACATGACGCTCGACGACATCATCAAGAACAACAAGAAGGCCAACCCCTCGTCCGGCCGCGGCCGCCGCGGATCTGCCGCTGGCGGCGGCGGCGGCGGGGGTGGGGGTGTTGGTGGTGGCGGCGGCGGCGGCGTGGGGCCGACGAGGCGGCCCTTCAAGAGGTCGGGGAACAGGGCGGGGCCCTACCAGCCGCCCAAGGTACGAACAGCAACGGATCGAACGTGGGGCTAGGGTTTGCTGCGCGCCGTCGGCGGAGGAGCTGGGCTTCCGCTTTTCGACGGCGAGGCGGGGAAGGATGTGGATGGATGGTCGGGTGGTTTTCTCACTGTGGTATGACGCGATCCAGGCCCCTGAATCGGCGTGGCAGCACGACATGTACTCGGATGTCGCGGCAGGCGGCGGCGGCGGCAGCGGCGGAGGCGGGAGGGTCTCGGCTATCGAGACTGGCACCAAGCTCTACATCTCCAATTTGGACTTCGGCGTCTCGACCGAGGATATCAAGGTATATAATAATCGCGTTGAGTTAGTCGCTTCTGAGCAATTAGCGCTAGAGGAAAGCAGATATTTGGTTGCATATGTGATTAGCTTAAGCTATTCGCCAGATCTAGCATGAACATGTGTAAAATTCCAGCAATATTTTGGTTTTGTTCATACTGCTAGCTTCGATCTGATGTTAAATAATTCTGGTCCATCGAGATCTGATCTTTTTTCCTCTGAAAAAAGGTCTTGATTAATTTGTGCAAAGATAGTGATATGCTCTAGTTAGTGATTTGTATGTTGACCCATGGGTTATTTGAATTTTTTAAGACAATTAATTATTGTCTACTTCTAGGATATTTTTTTACTGTCCTATTTCATCAAATTCCATGTCAATGTGATCATTTAAGTAGATATCATTAGCCAGTAGAAATTGCCTGAAATCTTCATGTGACATGTTTTTCCCTTAAGCATTTTTCTGAGTTATTTATTTTTTAATGATGCAGGAGCTTTTCTCTGAATTAGGTGATCTTAAGAAATACGTAATTCACTATGACAGAAGTGGGAGGTCTAAGGTACAGATTCAATCTTACACTTCTTTACATGCATTTGTTTTTTTTTTTGTTTTTTATGTGATAGCCTGACTTTTGTCTATCCCTTCCAGGGAACAGCTGAAGTTGTATTTGCAAGGCGTGGCGATGCTGTCGCAGCAGTGAAGAAATATAACAATGTGCAACTTGATGGTAAGCCAATGAAAATAGAGATTCTTGGGACCAATACTCCTACAGCTGCAGCTGCTCTTCCAGCAAATAACGGAGGCTACGTTAGAAATGTTGCTAAGAGGTATGTTCGGATTGCTACATTATCCTTTATTTGTTTGTATGCTAAAGTTTTGCATGATTGCTCATCACTGCTGTGATGTATTTTGATTGTGAGGGCTGATGCTAAAATACTACTGAGTATTTTCTATAATTTGATATCTGTGCTCCACAAAATAACACTTGCATGATTTTTCATTTCATTTCATCATCTTCAGAAAATTCTTGCACATGAATTTTTTATTCAAGTCAAACATGGTGACTGATTATATACATTGGTTGTTTGTGATGCTTTCTGTTAATTGTTTATAATTGCACTTGTTGCTAAAAGCCTAAAATTGTATCTATGTATCAGAGATGTTGATATCTCATTATCGATTGATTTGTTTTTTTGCTTTTCAAAACGTTCTTGTTATTTTGTGTGCACTTCTGATCATTCTCCAGTTCATATAAGATCTTGCCAACTTACCTTTATTGTTTTTGAAATGTTACAGTGCACCAAGGGGTGGCCCAGCTGGACTACCGCAGGGTAGACCTCGTCCAAGGGGGGGTGGGAGGCGCCGTGGTGGCGGAGGAGGCAGTGGTGGTCCTGGTGGATCCGGTGGTCGCCGTGGCAAAGAGCGTAGCCAGCCAAAGTCTGCTGAAGAACTTGATGCTGACTTGGAGAAATACCATGCAGATGCGATGCAGACCAACTAGATCTTCACGGTGTTGATATTTCAACATGAAATCTGAAGGATGTTTATCTGCTTGTTCCTGCTATTTGTGCTACCATGTTCAGTGGCAACAACAAAACCTTTGTTTGTCGGGTCTTGGTTTACTGAATTGTACGGTTTTATGTGTCTACATAGAACTAGAGTTAAGTGGATGCTGGTGAACACTGTTATGAATATTACTTGGTTGCCACTTATGTTCCTTTTTCTGCGGAGTGAAGGCCTGCTCGAGTTGCTCCACATACAGAAGTTACTGAAGATGTATGAGGTGCTCGTATCTTCTGACTCCTTTAACATACATCATCTTCAACGGCATTGTTGCATGGTTATTTGGACATTGTTCCTCTCTGTACAAGGGTTATAAGGCTCAGCCATCCTCAATGAGGTATGCATCATCTCTTATCTGTTTATCTATATTTACTACTGTTTATTGGTCTTTTTATTTATTTGCTTCTGTTTCATGTGTTTAAAGGTTCTTTTATTCTCATCTTGCAGGTGGCTGGTGCTTTTTTTGTTATTTATCATTCTGCTATTGTTGATTTTGGGCTTAGCAATATTCTTCTACCCGTTAGTGATTCATATGACAGCGGCTGGAGGGGTCACTTTCATTTTAAAGTTGATTTCCTCCTTGCAAAATCTGCACCGTCATATGATTATTCTATCTTCTAGCCAGCTGATCGTCAGTTTGAAGAAGCATCGAGGTGCAAATTCTGATTTAAAATTTGCTATTGATATTTGATAGTTATTCAAGTCTTAACAGCATATGTAGGCTTTGGACTTCATTTCTTGGCCCTCCATCCATTGCCTTCTTATTCTGTGTGATGTTAGCATTGCAGTGGATCTTCATTTTCATTAAAAATAGCCATCAAACTCCTTTAGTATCCCAACTAGGTATGTCATGATCATGTAACTGTGCTGGGAAGATCCATCTATTATGCTCATGTTTCTGCCCTGCCGTTCAGTTTTCAACTGTTGCACTCAGTTTTCAACAGAAGGATCCATCCATCTTGTTGCTCATCAATAAGGATTTCTCAGTTTATTGATTATTTGAGTATCATCCAAGTGTTGGCCTACTTGATTGGAGGTGTTGAATAACAAATTTCATAACCTTATAAGAGGCAAATTTTGATGGCTGGCTCGATGGTCATGTTTGTCAGGCAATGTCAATGGCATCAGTTCAGTATTTTGGAAATGGTACGGTGTAGTCATCATTTAGATGGCATTAGGTTAACTGGAATTGAAATAATCGTTTAGATTCTTTGCCCAGATTCAATTACATAAAGCAAAATAGGTTTACTTTTTTTTTTTTTGGGTTTGCAATGTGGAAAGCTCCTAGGTGATAGATGTGGAAATTTCAATTTGCTCCTTCTGTTGTAATTGAGGCTTGAGGTTTATTCTGCGTTGCAGTTTTTTGCCCTCAAGCATTGCTGTCATCTGCTTGACTTCTTCCTTTGGTGAACATGTTTTCGCAGTGGCCTTTGCAAGAACAATGTTGCCAGTTAAATACCGTATATTGAATTGTGTTTGATGCGTCAGGCGTTTTCACTATGCTAAACTGCATCTCATGCGTGCCTAATTTGGTTTGTGCATTTTTGTTGCATGCGAGTCTTTTGTTTGATGCGTTGGCCATTTTTCACTATGCATACTTCAGGCGTGCCTAATGTGGTTGCTGCATTTTTGCGGTTCGCTTGTCACGGTTTCGATGGTAAAAGCATATGATGTAATTTGTAATTTGGTATCGTGATCGTGCAGTGTTGTACCTACTACCGTCGTATTTGACCATGCTTTGTCGATTGCGGCCTGTAGGGAAGTTAATGTTTAGTTGCTGCGAGAATTTTGTATACTGTAGCGCAAAATTGCAAGGCGACTAATCCCATTTAGAAACCACTTTAAGGTGACTAATACATTTAGAAATGAGACGATGCTACTGCCGATCGGAGCATCGGAGGATTCACTCACGCTACCGCCGATCGGAGGATTCACTCACGCTACCGGATCGACCGATGCTACTGCCGATCGGACGATTCACTCTCACGCTACCAGATCATCCGATGCTGATGCCGAACGGAGGATTCACTCTCACGCTACCAGATCGTCGGCTGCTCATCAATCAATCACAAAAGTTTTGAGCCCAAATTAATATGTAAGAATTGCCCTTTTTTAGATAGAGTAAGTAGTTCAAAGAGTACAACGTAGAGGTGAGATACATTCTGAACCACCGCACAAACCAAAGCAAAAAAAATAATATGCACATGCCGTGCACACGAATTGCTATGAATATATAAATAAATAGGTTAAGTATCGAACGGTATGTAGTTCACCTACATGTATCTTAACAAAACACCAGATATAACCAAAAACTACAAAAAAAAGTATGGTCACAACTGCATCCGTGCAATAACCTCCATAACTCCCGCCCGCGCTCGTAACCTCCATAACTCCCGCCCGCGCCCGTAAATCTTCAGTTAGCAGGAACCTTCCTGTTTGGCTCAAAAACATACTTAACCAAAGAATCCTTGATGGACAGTAGCTCGGGGAACTCGGACTTCAACTTCGATGCATCCATTTCGTTGTTACTTCTTGGTGCAACTATAACCTTGGCCTGTTCCTCAAGAGTGAAGTTGGTCCACTTGAAGTCGGGGTTGAGGTATTTCTTGTACATCTCCAGGATCTCGTTGTGGCTGACAACCCCAGGATTGGTGAAGTTCCATATGCCCCTGCAGTCCCGCTTCGCCATCTCAATGGAGATGGGCAAAAGCTCATCCAAAATTGTCATACTGTTGGGGATGTTTACCACCTTGTCATAACGAGCTATCTTTGTGATGAAGTTACGGGGGTTGCTCAAATCTGATGATATGGGCATCCTGACTCGAAGCGTACAGACGTTGTCATATTCTTGCAACAGCTCTTCAACCTGCATTACATCGCATTATAATAAAAGATACGTTAGTACCTGAGAGAAATAAAAGGATAGATGTTATAGTTCTTAAAAACACGACTTGAACGTACCATAGCTTTAGTTTTGGAATAATATGAACCAGTAAAGTTGGGCTTATCTTCCTCTTTAAAACCAATTCCTGATCCTTCGGGGTGCTTAGCATCATACTCAAATATGCAACCTGTAGCATAATTAATCATGAGCAAGCCCTGCTCACGACAAACATCAGCAAGGTTCAAGGTGCCAACAACATTGGTGCGGATAGTATCCTGTTTATGGGTCTCGCACCAGTCAACATTTGGCCTCCCAGTGACACCAGCAGCATTGAAAACATGAGTTGGCTTCACATTTCTAATGTCCTGCAAGAGCTGAGAGCGCTCTTCCAGGCGTCCTTTCCCATACTCATATGGAATCCCTTGCTTCTCACATATCTTACCAAGTAGACCACCAATCCATCCAGTCCTACCATATATCAAGAACTTGTATGAGGCCTTTTGAGGGGCACTGCTGGTGCTTTTGGCAGTGGCTGCAGGAACCGCAGTGCTAGATTCCTTAGCTTCATCTGGTGAAGTGGAAAGAGATTTGATCTCATCAGTCCAGTTATGCCTTTCAACTCCAGGTGTCATCAACATCCTTGGATGAGGGAGCAAGGCACCTGCGACATCTCCCCAGTAATCAGGATTGTTAGTGTACCATTCAATTGTTTTCTTCAACCCCTCTTCCCATAGTGTGCGCTCTGCCCATCCCAATTTCTTCAGCTTCTGATCATCCAAGAAGTATCTCTGGTCGTTGAAAGGCCTGTTCTCAACAAATCTGATGACCTTCTCGGTGTCCAAGCCAAAGAGCTTGCATATGTCCTTGGCCACATCAATCACCCTCCTTTCCTTCACAGTACCAATATTGTACACATGCCCAACCTCTCCTTTGTGAAGAACCACCTCAAAAGCTTCAGCAACATCCTCACAATACAGATAGCTTCTGACATTTGAGCCATCACCGTGAATGGGAAGGGGCAAGCCTCTCATTGCCAAAAGAATAAATTTGGGAATGAGCTTCTCAGGGAACTGATTTGGCCCATATACATTGTTGCCCCGAGTTGTAATCACAGGAAGGCCATAAGATCTTCCATAAGCCATCACAAGCATCTCAGCCCCAGCTTTTGTAGCTGAATATGGGTTTGTTGGAAGCAGCTGTGAGGCCTCATGGTTGCCAACCACAGCATCCTCATCAGTTTCTCCGTACACCTCGTCAGTACTCACATGAATAAATCTTCTAATCTGACCAGTAACCTTGCAGGCCTCAAGAAGGACATGGGTACCATAAATATTGTTCTTTGTAAACTCAAAGGAATTGCCAAATGAATTATCCACATGAGTCTGAGCAGCAAAGTGCATGATAGTGTCAATTGACTCAGTTGTGAGAAGGTAGTTCACCAGATCAGCACTTGCAATGTCACCCTTGACAAACTTGAAATTCGGCGATGGACGTGAAGGGTTGAGATTGCTCAGGCTGGAACAGTAATCGAGCTTGTCGAGGACAACAATCTTGTAGTGCGGATAGTTCCTGACTAGGCGGTTCGCCACATGTGATGCGATGAAACCAGCAGCGCCGGTTATAAGAATGTTCTTGGGCTCGTAAGCCGCCATCTTCGCCTGCTGATGTGTACAAAATGGCATCAGAAGAGTATCCTCACATGTGACGTCATAAAAGGCACCCCAAGACAGAGTTAAAATTATAAAAAGCAGATCTAGTTAACACCCATGGAAAATGAAGAAAAAACAAAAACCGCAACTGATCTAGTATCGATTTATTTGAGAAAAGGAGCGACATAAACATGGATCCCTGAGAGAGAGAGAGAGAGTGTGTGTGTGCGAAGTCTCTCTCGTAGTACCAAACAGCACCTCGGCTTCATGATCTAGCCTTCAATTTACCAAATAATCAAATTCTTCACGTTAAACAATTGTGATTGTGATATGTACTAACTAACGGCAATGCTCACCATGATCCACAACCAAGTAGAACGAACGAACGAACCACAAAACAACGGTGATCGGCACCACTCACCGCCTCCCCTGCACCAGAAAGGTAGACAGATAGATCCCTCTCCCCGCCGCAAACGCGGAATGCGCACGCACGAGAACCCCGCGCCACACCAGATCACAACGCACAACCGCACGGGCCAGCCAGATCTATCCCCCCCTCAAGGCGCCAGAACAAATTTCAGACGAGAGGATCCACGAGTCCAACCCGGCCGGGCGGGGCGATCCCCCGACACCGACCTAGGGAAAAAAAAACGACGGAGACGAAGAGAAGTGGGCGCTCACCGAGAGCAGATCGCGCGCGCGCACGACGGGATCTGGGGGGCCGCGGCGGCGTCGCGTCGGTGACGAGCCGGCTGGATCGGGGCGAGACGGATTATGGCGGTGGTGGTGGTGAAGTGGCGAATGGCTGTGATGCGGGAGGGGGAGGGGGAGGGGGAGGAGGGGAGGGGGTGGGCCTTAAATGCGGGGCGGGCCGTTTCGCCGCGCGTCCGGTACACGCCGCCTACGGGGCCTGCGTGGTGGTGGGGCCCGCGCGTCGGCGACCCGCGGGTGGTCGTGCCGGAGTCCACAGCACACCGGCCCGCGGCCAGTCCACCGCCAGACGAGGATGCGTGTGTAGCAGGGTAGGTGGGATGCGTGGTGGAAGCTGCCGGCCCCCGCGTCTTTAACGTTCCCTCGTCTCGTCCTCGTGCTGAACGGTGGTAGGTCTGGGCGATTTGATGTGTTCCTTTTTTTTCACGCTTTCTTACTTCTATCGGGTCGGGCCGGTTTGGTTCGAGGCTTAAATTGTTTTTACCAATATTTGACAATTTTAACAGTGTTTAGTGTCTATTTAGTTTGAAGCCAAATTTTAGCATGCCTTAGAAAATAGGACATTTCAATCGTTAACTTAGGCTATTTTGGCTTCAATCCAAATACAATTTTGCCTTGCCAAAATTAGCCATGCCAAAACTTGCTAAAATTTGACATCGACAAAAATTGGTAAGGCCAATTTAGGTCACAAACCAAACCAGCCCATCGTTTTCTTTCTACTGGTACGCTTCCTCAATTATAATGGTGCATTTAAATAATAGTAGATTTAAAATTTGTTGTATTCCTTTCACACTTTTCTAACCTATGCATCTCATTTTTCACATGTATGTTTCTTGAATTAATAAACGGTTTGTTTTTAAAAAAATTCTATAAAAAAACTACTTCAAAAATCACGTTAATTTATTTTTTAAAATATTATTAGTTAATACTACTTAATTAATCATGGATTGATCTACCGTTCTTTTTTTTAAAGCGTACCAACCCTTCCTACTAAACACATCGCTTTATGGGTTGTTCATTTGATCTGAAAATGAACCTTATCAAATTTTAGTATTGTATTTGATAAGATTGAGAAGTGTAAGTTATGTTAATTTGTTACATTTGTTAGGCTTTTGTTTAAGGAAGATCT